ACGTTAAAGGTATATTTCGATATATTTCGAATATTATAAATAGCGGCGCTCCTCCTTAAATAAAAGTAATTTACCAGTATTTTTCATGTACCTACTATAATGTTGTATTCCGTAATTTAAAAGAGACAAAAGAATATTATGTAATAAACAAATAAATAGGCTTATGGTATTTAAATACATAGTGGGATAGAAATAAATTTCATTCTTAAAGTAAATCATGGTGAGGACTTTTTGAAAATATTGAAAACACGAAGTACGATATTATAATGTTAAACAATTTACTTAGAGATAAAATGGCCCCGGCGTTGAACTTTGAAAATCTAAGTCTTCCCTGTGTTGTTGAATGGACGTGTACAACATGCCAGACTTTATTATTATTATACTAGCTGCTGCCCGCGACTACGTCTGCGTAGAATAGGCTGAAGGCGTAACATTTAAACAGAAAGACAGATATACATAAAAATATGTATATAAATTATAGCCTATGTTTTATTCTGATGCATAAGCTATATTATTGTAAAGTTTCATTAAAATCCATTCAGTAGTATTTGCGTGAAAGAGTAACAAACATCCATCCATACATGTGGTTTAGCTAGGGGCATAAGAAAGTTATTAAGAATAAACAACTTTAATTAGGTAAACAAGGTTATGACAGGAACAACAAAATTAAAGGGGCCTCTTGGAGTATGACCCAAATTTGATGACGACCTACATACGATCCGAGGGGAGCGTATTTCTGAGATGACGCGAGAATGGATTCAATCAATACAAATCGGACTTTAGGCAAATTCATCATTTAAGCAAATGTTTCGTTATAGTCCTTAAGCTTGTTTTATAAAAACGAATCAATAGCTGGCATAAAATATAAACTTCGGCTACAAGTGCACACAGAAAAGTATATGGGAATAACAATATGAAATATACATAAGGGACTGTTTAGGCTTTTTTAAATTGGCTTAAAAAAGAATGGGTCTTTAAGAAAAAAATATTTTCATTTTTCATAATAAGCCTGCTTTTAATCGAATTGCAAAAATATTTTTTTATACATTATTTAGGTGTCATACACGATAAGTACATGTTCCAGAAATTGAGCGGGTGGTTATACATTGGTTTGATGCCGTGCCTAACTAAAAAAAAACCGCCCAAGTGCAAGTCAGACTCGCGCACGAAGGTGTTCCGGACCAGTTGTTTTTAAAAAAAATTACCTATAAAAACGGTTCGTGAGATACAGCTTGGTGACAGACGGACATACAAACAGACAGATAGACAGACAGATAGACAGTGGAGTCTTAGTAAGAGGGTCCCGTTTTACCCTTTGGGTACGGAACCCTAAAAACAAACTAAAAATCTTTGGGCTAAACTGATATATCTTAAAGCTCTCGCTATTCTTATGTTTGGTTAATGGGCCAAGTTATTTGTTATTTATAAGCAAAGCCAAATGCAGAAAGGCAGTGAATCGAACCTCTACAACGATATAAAAAGCAAAATTATTTTCCTAGAATGGTCCTATGAAGATAGGTAAGTAACGGTAGTTAATTATTTCAACGCATCGAAGGGAATCTATCTCTCTTTTGAATATTCTGGAAATTAGGCCCCTATTTTAATACGCAGTTACGACGTATACAACGACAATTAACGTAGTTGAAAAAAATAATAAATAATAGTGACATTCTAGGTTTACGACGTTTCTTTTTAAAATGGGTTTCGTGCATGTAAACATTCCAGCCAGTCATGCGAGAGTTATTACGTAATTATGTGCACGTGAAAAAAATACTTGCACATTTGATGGCTTACAAAGAACAGAATAGAGAAATGTGTAATAGGTAATAATAGTCGATGGAATTCAGTCGATTTCGATATCTTACATTATAAAAAAATATCAATAGATGGCTATGATAAATGCTTGATAAAAAGTTTTTTTAAAGAAAATTTATGAAAATAATTTTATTCTATTTGACTATTTTTCTCATTAGCGGGAAACATATGCTTTTAAATGGTGTTTGAATCATTAAATTTGATGACGAATTATGGTAGTTCTCATGACATTCCGTGACATAGGTAATAGGTCCAGGTACGCCCTTCTAATCTATACTAATATAATAAAGCAGAAGAGTTTGATTGTTTGTTTGAAAGCGCTAATCTGGAACTATCGGATTTGAAAAATTGCATTTGATAGCCCAGTTCTTGAGGAAGGTTATAGAGTATTTAGCATCACGCTACGATCTACGGGGGCGAAACAGAAACGTTTCGTACGGATGAAATCGCATGGAATAGCTAGTGTCACAATAAATGTTCTTGAAACGATCTAGCTTTGTTTAAATGTTTTTTTTATAATTCCAATGAATGAAATAACAAAACCATGTTTACCAAAATGATATATCAACACCGAAGGTAACATAAAAAGTGTTTGGATGTACCGTATAGACTTTAAAAACAAAAAGAATGTTAATCTATAAACGGAACATGTGAGGTATATTATATTAATTTACAGTGTGTTTATGGTACTACGAAAATCAAGAAATATCAGTCTTAATTACTAAAGCACTTTTGACGTTACCGTAATTAGGAACGAAGTTTTGTTAGACCTCGTTATCTTTCGGCCGTAGCAGCTTTTCTGGGCTTAAGTTAACATACTTAAGCCCGTGTTTGAGTGTTTTATTCCCACTTAACTTAATTAAAAAAAATATTATACATTTTATAGTGGAAAATTGAAAATATATTATTAAAGTTGCTGTCCAATGCAATGTGGAAGTTACTACGTTTACTTCCAATGTTTAATTCGGGGCTATCTTAGAAATGTTACATTTTCTGACGTGATTAGAAACAGCGTAGCTTAAAAAGACTCTACGATGATACGCTAACCTAATTCAGGTTAGCGTATCATCGTAGAGTCGAAACGCGTCTACTCCAATGAACTTATTATTCCCTCTCATTAATTTATTCCATAATATTCTATCCACCATGCGACCTCCACTCCCTCTGTAATTTTATTCGAGAAGTTTAAGTCAGTTTTAGAAGTAGAGCAATGCAACTACAACAGTTATGAATTTTAATTATTTCATTTATTACTTTGCATAAAATAACAAGCTGGGTGGGAATCTTGCGGAACTTCTATTATTTTGAATAGCATAATGTGCAATGTGTTAAACTTTCACCTAGTTTTAAGGTTGCACGCCTGTTTAATTATGAAATTCTTAACAAAACTAAACAATGACAGGTATTGCTTTAGTTAGACTCATAATTTTTATCTTATACATATCCAGAACATTTAAATTATGTGAGTAAATTTATTTAACAATAAAACAAGAGGTTCCTTGAAAGAGCTTGCGTAATTCCATAGCAGTAGTAAGAATACCTCATCATCATTTGGGTCAACACCATTCATTTGATGGGTCTTTATTAGCCTGATGATACGAAGAAGGGATGTAAGAGCTTCTTGTATTGCGATCCAATCACTTTCTGTGTTTATATGTTTATGTTTATGTTTAATATATTTTAAATGCAAACAATATTTATTAAATGTTGACGAGTAGCCTAAAAATTTCAAGAATATAATGCTCCCAGCGAAATACTATCAATAGACAGTCTGACGCCAAATTTAGAACTGAAACTTACAAAACTGTGAATGGGGCACATAAAGCCGGATGCTGAGCCGCTTTTGGTATTCCGTATGCTCATTAAATGGGAACAAATGGAACGAAACTAGATCGCTGCTCATAATATGCCGATCAATATGCAGAATCTTGGCGAATATAGGACAACCAATGGTTTATTTACAAAACTTAAAAAAGTCCACTATATTTAATGGAACTCTGCCAAACTCCTCTGATGGCTTTTCAATTATAACATATACGAATACTCTTTGATATTCGATTTCTAATGTTTAGTTAATTTACAAGCTTTGACTGCGAGATCAAAACTTTGTAAATTTAACTCTTTATTGCCTACACAGTAAAGAAATTGAATTGTATATTGTTGATTATTTACCGAATAAGATTGTACAAATAACAGTTAGTACCGACGTAAACTGATTAGGATTTTCTAATTATTTAGATCGAGACGCGTATTTCTCTGTGAATTTAACACAGAAATTGCGCTTCAGAATTAGACAACAGTTTCGCTTAGTTAACCAGTTCTCGTAACTTTTCGCATCTATCCTCAAAAGTTACCACCATTCGACCCGCTCGTCTGAGTGCGGACGGTCATTTTGAAATCTTTCCTCATTTTATAACGGGCGAAACATTTTAGCTCTTTGAATATCACAGTGTTTCGTGTCACCATAAAATCGAAACAACCACTTTGTTACCGTTGATATAAAGGTTACTAGAGACTAGCTTTAACTACTTTATGTTAGTATGTTTTTTCATACACGTAAAGATTTTCAAAAGGTTGTCAACGCATCTGGAACCCTCGGGTGTAGCAGGTGTCCATGGGCGGCGGTATTCCCTTAACATCAGGTGAACCGTCTGCTCACTTGGCAACTTTTCACATAAACAAAAGATAATGATTATCCCACTCCAAACTGTGACAGTTACGTTAAAATTTTTAATAAAATGTAGAATTTGTCGCAAATTACAGTAAAACTGTCATATAGACCGAATGACTTTCAAGTTATTGTTGAAGGTTGACCACTAGGAAATTATCAGTTAAAAATCTATATATTTAAATTTCATTCTGTCATTAGCGATAAAAAATGAATGAACTGCTGCTATAAATTAACAAATCACTTCGTTACAATAATCAATTTAAGTTGAATAGTATTTAAAAAGTTAACATGGTGAAAACGACTAGCTCTATTGGCTAACGCCCAGGGCATTATGCCAAATTCCTTACCTGTTGATTAACATGCACGAAGCTTGCTATAAAAATTATTACTTACTATTATTTACATATTATTATAATTTTATTATTATTTTGGACTTGGTAAGTGCTAATGATGAAGATAATTATTTTATAGGTTTTTTTAATGATTCTGGACATAAATTGTGCAGTTCACTTACCTGAACATGATACGGAGCAACCTTCTCTTCGCCCTTGATTTCTACATTGATGTGGAGTCTGATAGCCCCGGATACGGCAGATTTGTCGGTCCTTTTCTCCAGATTGTACCAAACGTCCATCTCGCCAGATAGCGTTCGAACCTAGGGAATATGAAAATAAAATTTGCCGATACCTTAACATCTTTAGTCGGGCGTATTAGCATAAGAAGATTACTAAGCGATATATGAATTTGTTTTTAGTAGTTGTCAAAAAGATTTAGCTCTTGTGCCTGTCCTTTCCGATTTGTTACAGTTATTACAGACGTTTTATCTTTTTAGGGTTTTATCTATATAATATTTACCTCGATAATTGTTTGACCCAAGAAATCGTCCGATTCTCTCGTCAATTTTTGCCTAAGTTTCGATTTCAAATCGTTATCTTCATCCCACACTCTTACTTTAATCCGATCGGAGGAATTGTGACATTCACTGAAAAATGTTATAATTAGTAAATAACAGGAATTATAATTCGCGGACTTTTCAATTTCGATTGTTAATTATTAATATGTAGATTTTAATTTACAGAATATGCATAAAGATATTTAAAATGGTAACCGTTGTTTTATCTAAAACAACTTACAAATAGAACTTTTCGTTCCAAACTGGATTCAACTCCTGAGGCATTGTTCTTGTCCTCTTCTTTACTTTGCTCACTTGAACAGTGACGTAAGGGTCAGAAGTTCCGCTCTTGTCCTTTGCGATAAGTCCTTGAGCACAAATAACTGTCCGCAAAGGGAAACTATATTAGTTTTCTATAAAGTATACAACAAATGTCTCGGAACATCTTAAACTTAAGCATAAAACACAATTCAAGTAAAATAATAAGTTCTGTTTTGACGAAACACAAGCATATTTATTTTCGATTTACTTTTACTCTTAGCTAGGGTTTCAATTACGCAAATTTCTACTTATCCACTTTTGCAAAAAAGTCATTAATTGCTATGTTAAACAAAACAGATGCTGATTAGATGTGGCAATTATTTATGAGTTATCCTTTGAATGAAATATTTGATCCACTTACCGAACTGCTTCTGTACCTGTTGAAGAAACACTACCATTTGGATTTCCTGAGTTTAATGGTCTGGGATGAAAGAAGAAGACACTAGCATCAAATCTACCAAGTCTTACTAAAATGCCCAAATTTAAATTTCTATGTCAACTTGATGATAGCGAATACATAATCGCAACGTCTAATGCAAACTTCGACCAAGAAGAAAGTTTCAAAGTAACAAGTGTAAGGTATGCTCGGGTTTTATTTCTAATGGTCACGGAATTTACACGAATCGAAAGTTTCACAGCGGTCAAACTGGAAAGTATGCAAATGGAGCGGGACGTTCATTTAAATTGTGCCGGGGTTCAAAGTCCTGCATGCTGCTGGAACGGATTTTGCTAATTGTCAATTATCATTCATCTATTGCGAAAGAAAACTACTAGTGTCGGTAGGGTATCTATCGATCTGAAATTATCAATAAAAGAAAAATTAGAGGTTTGTAATTTGTGTAGAAGCGAATCGTATGCCATTTGTGAAACGTGTTAATATATTATCTGTAAAATTGCTCGGAAGAAACATGCAATTATGTGGTGTCATGTTTAAATAATATGTGTTTTTATCAATAATTGTGATTTTCACTCTTTTTAGTGTAAGACGAACAAAGATTGTGTGCGATTCGTCATTGTTTTTTTGTAAGTGACTTGTCTGTGTTTGATTCGTGGAATTTCCTTAGTGTAAATGAATATATAAGCTGTTTCTGTCATAGGTGAGTACAGGCGGTGCTCTAACGTCCGTGAATGGTTTGAGTATTTACTTGAAGTAAGATGTCAAAGCTATGCCTGATATCTGCTTGTGTTACAAATATCCTGTCTCCTCGCAACAACAGTTTCAGTGAACAATTTTCGCTTCCTTATTTAATTACTTTTTATTATTATTTCAACGGATAATTATAACGGCAGATATCAGAAAAGAGCTTTGAATGGAAGTCAGGCGAAGATTTGATCTAATAGAGCGAAATCTGCGAGCGTGCGGTTCGTAGCCGCAAAAGACCACGGCAAACCTGTAATGGCGATTTTGCAGGACCATTTGGAAGTCCCTTCAATAGTGACCTGCTCGGCCTGTTCGAGGCTGTCTATGTGTGTGTCGGGGTCGACACTAAAAGTCCGCCTGGTCGCCACATGAAACGAAAGAGAAGCTATTTAATGACGTGCCCGCAGCAGTTCCGCGCAAGATCCTCGCCGTTCTCGCCAGCCACCGCCGGTTCCTGTGGAGTGGTCACGTTAGTCACGACACATCATCGAACCTGTGATAGCGATCTTCGCGCTCCATTTCGATGTGCCATCGAGCACTGACTGCTTCACCGTGTTCATGTGTGCCGAATGCCCCTCCCCTTCGATGCTGAACACGCGTCTGTTACATACACACATCGTCAAACTTGTTTCTTCCTCCAAATAAATTAGACCTTTGAATTAGTGAAATTCACAAATCTCCAACTACAATCAGACATTAGTCTCATAAATTGAATTTAAAACATAACTCAACTGTAATGACGGCAATAACAGAAAAGGTAAATGTTATTTTAGTGTTAAGAACACCGAAAAAATTATATAATAAAATTAAATAGTAATAAAATAGTAAAGAATTCGCTGGGTTCAAAGAAGATAGGATTTAAGTGGATTCTATATAAATGATCAAATAGTTTACTAAGTTATAAACCATTGTATCATTCAGTTTGCTTGACCTATAATAGTAATGAAGAGAAATACTAAAAAATCAAGTCAAACGCTAAATACCTGATGAGCTCGAAAATTTCCGGCTTGTCGCGCTCCCTCTGCTTCATCCGCTCCTTCATCGCGGTGATGATTGAGTTGGCCTTGTCCTCGGCGCCGTGCTTCGAGGACTTCTCGGCGGCCCCTGCGAAACACACTGCTCAGGCGGTGCAAACGCAGTCCTCAAATGCGCGGGCTGCGCCGGGACGGCCGCCCCGCCCCGCGACCAGGCCTGCCACGGCAACTCGATAGCGACAACTTCACCAGACACCGATTTGTCCACATCGAAAACTGTTCCCGCGCCGATATCAGTTCTGGTGCCGTCGTCCACTTCAAGCGGCGCCAGCCGAAGCAAACCTGAGCACTGCGCCTCTTTTTCAGGTCAAACACAGTCCAATCCGTCGTCAATAGTCTACTGCTCGTAATTGTATGGGAAAAGAAAGAAGTCCCCAACAAAATACTCTTTTGACTGTTGTTTTTTTTTTACCTTTTTCATTAGCAAAAACTTATTTTTTACAGCAATTTACTAGTAAGATCTTGAGTAGGGCTATTTTAGTAAGAATTATTTTTAGAAGAACAGAAGAAAATAAAACATAGTTAAACAAATTAAAAAATACCGAGGTATTCTAGAAAACAAAGACATTAAGAAGTTAACTAAGACCACATATAATATTTAAGTGGATAGAGATTAGGCAGCGTGCATTAAATGCTAACAGGCACTTTTAGCTTTATTTAATCCGTAGATTATACCGTGTTATAATGTTTCAGAACAAAGGTTTTGAGCAAGAGTAGGTTGTAAAGTAGGGTACACACAAGTTTGAAGATACTTTAAGGGTGTTATTAAGTTTTGGCGCTGGGCGGGGCAAACCGGAGAGAGAAAAGGCGAATGCGGGAGCGGAACCCTATCTAATATGATCTAAGAAGTCCACACTTTAAAATATTTATACTCAAATGTATTTATACTAATTATCTTACAAAAACCGCAATAGATAATTAAGTGCGTATTTCATAAACGACACAGAAATGTTATGTAATGCATGAAGTTAAAAGAGATAAACGAAATTTATAACAAAGCTGTTGGTAAATTAATTATTTACATTTTAAAACTTACGCAAAATACTAAAATGAGAATGTATTATCCCGTTCAAAGTGTAGACTTGATTGTGATGACGTGCAGTATTAAAACAACTGCCTGCCCACGTGAGGTGATACTAAAACCGCATTGTATGGGGTTAATATCAAAAGAATAATCGTGGTACAATATGTAATACATGCATGTTATTTATGACTGTTCCCAGGGTGAAATGTGACCCATGCTACTTAATAAACAAGATCAAAATATTAAAAGAGGTAATGAAGGAAACATACGCCACGTAAGAAGGATCTAAATCGGCTGATTATTTGATATAGAAACTTATTATTGGTTAACATAAGTTTTAAACAATATCATTCTGATGACGTTTGATGTATTCCAATCGATTTTTCTCTTATATTAATATGATTAGTGTTTAAAAATGATTTTGAAATGTATGAGAGGCGAAGCAAATAAAACATGCACACGAAGATCATATGACTACGGCATTTCAAGTATCTACTATTTTCATTACCTTGCAATTTTTTATTGGCATCGTTTAAGGAGCGAAGTTTAACAATAGTAAATAACGACACAAAGAGCTAGATGCGTTCCACACTGATAGTTTCTTTTTCTTGATAGTAAAATATTACTTAAAAATAATCAAAAAGCATTACAGATTTCTTGAAGGATCCCTTTACAGGAAGACCTAAAGAAATTTATATGAAAGCCTTATTTTATTTATTGCCTTAAAATATACATAAGAAAAACTTTATAAAACACCTTTTTATTAAATCTTTGATGCTATAAAATATAAGTGTTGCGTCTAAGCTGTAAGTATGTGAACACAAAAGGTAGCTGTGTGAAGCTGAACCTTAAGGATCATCCACGATCCTTTTGTTTTAACGAACGTCAAAAAATCTTTGAAGGAAACGTGAAAGAGTAAACTTTTTCTCATTGCTTAAGTCCGTTTTTTTAGGTTAATCACCTCAATTGTTCCCTCGTTAATGAATCATTTATAAAAAAATCATTGGTTATAATGTTAACGGACAAACCGAATAAAATAGAGTTATACCCGTTGAATAACAGTTGTTTTTTTTCTAGTGTCGTTGTAGAACAAAGAGGTTTTCCATAGCGAGCGACCTTTTAAAGGAGTACTTGACACCACTTGGCTTTAATAAAGAATACCGCTGTCTAGTTCAATAAATGTCAATATTATTGATTTGCACACAAAAAAGTAACGATCAGTGAGACATTCAAAGCGAACACAAACACAAAAGAAGGTTTATAGTAATATTAAAAAAAGCGATCGATAGAATTTTAAAAGGCATTAAGTATAGAAATTGATACATGGAATATCAAGCAAATTGCCACTTCTTTTTAATATATCTTCGATTATGAAACTTTCATAAATAAACCATTTAGACGAAAAATATTTTTTATTAGATAACAGTCGTTTGTGAGACTAATTAATACATTATTTCTGAAAATTGTGTAATTTTGAGAGAGCAAAGCAAAATTCACGATATTTACGAAAATGAGCATCATACTCACTCTGTAGGCAGTCGGCGTTGAGCAAATCCTTGCATTTCTCGTGACATTTCACTCCACATTCTGTACAACGGACGCCCTGTCTTGCTATTCCCCAGAGCAAACCTTCACACTCATAGCAATACGTTGGGGAGGTGGCTGTCCAAAGTACGAAATTGTGAGGCGTAGTCGATGAAATGGGATAGATGAGTGCTTGCAATGTCTTCTTATACACATGCATTTTCTGAAACATACCTCTCAGATTAGAACCCGTTAACGGTGTATGCCTAATTGATTGTAATATAGATTGAGCTGTAAGAGATCCGTTTTCCATTTGAATGTCTGTAGAAACCAGTTGTTTTTTTCTACACACATGATTGTAGAAGGAAATAGGACCGATGTAAGTTTGGCATAAGTGCAAAGGCATAAGAACTTTGTGCAAAGTACCTCAGTAAGACGGTTTTATAACGCAAAAAATAAGATAAATTCAAGTGACGCATTGGAAACCAACAAGTTAAGTAAGGTAGCACATCGACGTAGGGGTAACGGCGTGGATTACGGAAACTGAAAATGAGTAATCACTTCCTCTGATTCCTCCGACATGAAGACTGGCATTTCCAATGCGATGTCCATTAAAACGTAATTTAGTTAAGTTTCAATGTACAAATGCATGTACAATCAGAAAAGGTAACGATCGTACAGAGCGTATTTATGTTTGTTAGTGACAATTAAGCATACATTTTTAGAGGTTAGGTACCATTTTTAATCACTAATGTTTGTTTTTTTTTATGTGAAAAGTTGCCAAGCGAGCAGACGGTTCACCTGATGTTAAGTGAATACCGCCGCCCATGGACATCTGCTACACCCGAGGGTTGCAGATGTGTTGACAAACTTTTGAAAATTGGGCTCCGGCCACCTCACTCACCAGACGAAACGCGAAAGTATTATACGTCTACTTTACGCCGGTTTTCTGTGAGGTCGTGGTATTTACCCGGACGAGCCGGCCCATTGATGTAACAGCCGAGGCTGGCTGGCTAGGCATTGCTCTACCACCGTAAACGTAATGTAATGTTTACCACATTTTATTTTCATTGTTCATACATCTAAAACAACATGCGTTTTCTTTTAATTTATAATTATCTTTATTTTCTGATCAGTCTGTCGATCAGACCAAATTGCATGGTAAAATCGATTGAATAAAGAAATAAATCTTTTTATACTTTATTTCTTTTACATAGTAGTACTTACTAATTCTTCATCGTTTAAAGTTGCTCTGTGCACCGCGGATGTCAGGCCAGCATTCCTCTTCGTAGCGGCCATAGTCTAAGTTCCAAAAGAAATTCTATTAAATTCGCCATAGGTAGGATTGAGAATATTACGAAACTACTCAAAGGACTATGTATTTCACTCTATTTCAAATGTTGAAAGATTTGGTGCTGAGCGATTTCATTTTTGATTTATACAGATAAATAAGACAGTGTTCCTTCAATAAATTGCAGTCTACACATGCTCAAAGATAAAGCGATTCTCAAAGCAAGCTGTTTTTTTTTTAAAATAATAATAAAATATTCTTTGAAATTATTCATGAAGATGGAAACCGAAGATATTTTGAAATGACCAGTTTTGTGAAAACCTTTTCAAAAAGAGATTCCAGCTTAAATGTATCTGCAAAGAACATTATTAAAAACATGTAGACAAAAATATTGATGACATTAAATATTTTGCATATTGCAATTACAGGACTGTATTGATACGAATTACTGTTGATGTGTATTTTTGTACCAATTTCATATTCAAATTTAATTAGAATTATTGCATTAGAAATAATATAAATTAATAAATAGTGTATAAATTAAGCGTGCGAATATAATTATTTTCGAGCAATTTAATTGCATTTTGGAAATTCATTTTATGAATAAAATAGAAATAAAAAGACAATAGAAAATTGTAGGTGTGTGAGTTGCATACGATTTAAGTAACACGCTCATGCTAGAAATTTTCATGCACTAAAATTGTATGTGGATACAAGATTAATAATAATATGCATAACAAAAGCCGTCTCTATATAACGTAAATCATTTTATCATGCAAAGAAAAGAAGTGTTATTGGGAGAATATACCTTGAGAACCTGCGGGTCCGTGGAAAGGAGTAAAATGTAAGTATACCATTAATTTTTATCAGGAATCATTAGGTACGATGAAAATTTCATTTGTTTTTTGTTCACTATAAGGTGACCCCTAAGTATTTCTTGCACAGTTTAGGCTATTAAGGGTGGCGAGATTGTTTTAAATAAACTTGTGGAAAGGCTTAGGTGAGTTAGAAGGGAGATACATAAACAACAGATAACATTAAGACATCAAAGAAGAAAGGAAGGTTTGTAAAGTCCAGTAATAAATCTTCAACAAATTACCAGTTTAAAGTAAACAATAAATGGAGAGTATAATATAAATGTAATAAGAACGCTTTATCATCTACGATAAAATAATATTTCAATTTTATCAGTGAAATGTAAATTAACGGAGTAACCTCTCCATAAATTGTTAGACAATATAGAAAGTTATCGTTTAGAAAACACATTTATTACGCGCCTAATGTTACTAAGCTCCAGAAAGCGAACGTCGATATGAGCCGAAAACATTAACGGCCAGTTTCAATCTACAATTTGAGGAAATAGCTGAACTTTATTTCGGTACGTATAATTAAAATTAATAAACGTTCATTATTGCTTTAAGTGAATTGAAACCAGCCATAACAACATATCTAAGTCCTTTGGAATTTGTGACTGCTGCAGACGTCGACGGAAAGTTTGAAAATTTTACTTACAAGTTCCGATACCAGAGGAATCGATTTTCTTCGTGGCCGTATGTCTGGCATGCTGTCAATGTTGCTATAGAAGGGGTTATCTCCAGGGTGTCTATAAAATTAATGTTGTTAGAGTTCTAAAATATTCTTTAAATATTTGATCTATGTAAAGCGTTATATACATTGAACATAGCATTGTTATGTTTTGCTCAAATCATATGCCTTACAATACATTAGAATGATCTATCTATAAGTCATTACAAATGAAATAAATGACAGTTTTATTGAAAGCAATTAACGTTTAATGAAAGAATTATTTGACATTTGTGAATTAATAATTCCTTTCTTTTTTGTAATTAATAACTTAAAGCTTTGGGTTACAGTCCCCTTACTGGTTAGAGTTTTATTCCCAGCCAGTTTTATATCTCCAAGAAGTTTTATTACGTTATACAGTTAAACTCATGTGTTTTTGATATTATTGGAATAGAGTTCAATATTATAATCAAATTTGGATGACATACCCATTTCCTCGGCCGCCTTGTTCGCTAAAGCCGCCAGATCCGTTCTAAAATTAAATAAAAAATAACAGTTAAAAATATAATAAACAAAAAATAAAAAAAAACATGGTTTATTAAAAATAAGAATAAAAACAGTGTATAATTAATATAACGATTCAAGTTTCATTTCTTTAACGGATATTTTTAAATGTTTATACGAATAATAGGTGCAATGGTGTGGGACAAATAAACATCTATTTACTGAAATGAACTTATTTGATGAAACTTGAAGCGTAATTGATAATCTTTAAATAACATAATATAACAACACTAAATCACATATAAATCTCTAATCTCTACAACATGGAGAAATAACGTTATAGTATAACATACTTAACATATTAAGAAAACAGCTTAAAGGAACTACAAGTATCCTGTTTAACAAATATGACAATTCGTTTGCAAACTTAATTCCTCAAACACACAGGGTAAGTATTTATTTGAAAGGCGAATTTTTGTTTTTAAAAAGCTAAGCGAAGAAGATTACATTGTTTTTTAATATATAAAACCTTGTTTATTGGAAGGCCAAATAGCAGTGATTTTTTTCTAAGTTTGTTTGAACTCTACAGTTAAACAGCTAGAATTTTTTGTTTTACTTACCATTGTATGTGCTGGCTAAATTTAACGTCAGTGTTACTACGTTTTCAAATCTAAATGACGTTACGTCTAAATTCAAAATGTCTAAGAGTAGTAGGATAATTTTAATATTTTATGACAATGTCTAGTTCATAACATTAAAATCATTTAAATTGAAGCGATGACTGAAGGCGTCGATTTAAATTTTATATAAATTTCCCTATTGTAGCCCAAGTGAGCTAAAAATATGTATGAGAAAATAATTTTCCTTTCATTTATCAGACAATATTATTAATAATCATTGTAAAATAAATAAATTATATACGGAAGTACTTTCGCTCTTTAATTTTTTTTGCAATTTATGATATGATGTGATATGGTGATGAATGATTTTGTACACTTAGTGTTTACCTTAAGCTTTTTATAGTATGATTATGATAGCGTTTGAAAATTCAATTATGTGATGTTAACATGTCATATATTTTTTATCTATGCTAAAATCCAATTATTAATTATACTTTTCTTGTCTTACATTTAAATTGTATATAAAATGCATATAAGCGAGTATTAATATGGTATTACAATTGTATAATATTTATGTAAAATCTTCCAGATAATACATCTAAAGCTATATATCAAACGCTTTTATATAAAATACAACTCAAAAACATTTTATTACATATTGCAGTGTCAGTTTCTTACTATTTTATTGCTCAGTGAATTGTGATAATAATGACTATTAATACATAAACATCAATGACCCTATAATTCAGCCTAAGCACCTTCTCCAATATAAGTTTAGATGACTCAAAAGTTTAGATGTTTATAATTTTTATTAAGAAAAAGTAAATAAAAAGTATTCACCAAACAGTTATTCGTTGAATTGAGTTCACAACCACTGCTATTTTAAGCACGTTACTACGGTAATTTGTTAAGCTGTAAAAGCTTTTTTAAAACCGCTAAAGATGATTGATTTTAAGATCGTTATTAGATATCTATGTACCGATTTATGAATAATAAGGTGAAGCATAGGTAAATTTTAATGTTCATGGGTTTGCGATTTTTATTTTATGTATAAATGATTAATGTTGGAATAAGTTCTCTAATTTCATAATTAACTCTTAACTCTTATTTCATGAAATTTTTGCATTAGATAACTTACACCTGCACTAACTTTGTCCTTCTCGGTAGACGGTGTCGTAGCAGCTGGCGTTTCCGTTGTCTTTTCTTCAGCTTTTCTATCCTTTAGTGCTTTCAGTAGTTTCCATTTACTTCCAACTTGTGGTTCTTGTTGCTGTGGAGGTTCTTGTACACGCCGGGATTCTTCATGTATCTGAGGCATGTCGTAGTCATCATCAAACTCATCACCGCTTTGAACTGGACTATCTGGCCCTGATGTTTCACCAGATCCAGAGTCAGCATAAGATTTTTCTTCCTCATATTCTTTGTCAACTTCGGCATCTGTAGATTTTTCGTCCATGACTGGAAAGGTTGTTATATCTTTCCAGGCCTGTTTCGATTCGTCTTCATTGTATTTTTCTTTAATTGTTGCAGTTTTAAGTTGTAATTCTTGAAGTACGTAGGACATTTTTTCCTTCAAACCTTCATTTGGTTCATTAGGGAAATCTTCCTCAGGCTCTTCCATCAGCGTCCTTTCTCTGTCAGCCTCTTGTTGAGATTGATGTTCCATCTCCTCTAATTTCCTTAACTCATAGCAATACCATTCATCTTCAGAGTCAATGCTGTCTTCAGTGCTTTGTCTTCTTGATGAGACGCGAGAACCACTTCTCCAAGAATGGGTGCTGCGACTATCATCATCATCATGTTTATTGGGAACATCCAAACTTTGCTGATGTCGGTTAGAAAACTTAACAGGAACACCTCGAGCACTTTGTATGGATGGGCTACGTTCATGATAAGATACTGTTTCTTCTTGAGTCGAACTATTAATAATTTCTGGAGTGCAGGGCTTATAAAGCCACTTATCTTTTTGATTTGTTACTTCATTTTGGGGTTCATCTGGTAAAGTCGTTTCTATTTTAGGGGGAGACTTTTCGTCAATTTGTTCATCAGAAACAGAGCTTGATTTACGAAGACGATATTTTCCCAATGCTCGCGAAACTGCGAACTCTTGTGAACTACCGCTATAAGACTTATTGTTCTCATTTGTCCCATCATCGGTAACAGTAGCAGCCTTTTTAACATCACCGATAGTTGCGAATATTGACGTAGGAGACTGATTGTCATCTTTTTCACTTTCTTCAAACGGGTCAATATTTGATATATCAGTATCAATATCGAGTTTTTCTATTTCTGATATATTATCTTTATTCATTTGACTTACTCGTGCAAAGTGAAAGTCAATATCATCGCTCTTATCGCGTGGTAAAGAAGAAGTAGTTGGATATTTACTATTTTGTTCTTCTATAATGTTTTCAGTGCTTTCTTCGTTGAATTCTACTCCCTGTTGCTGTAATTCTTGAATCATTTGTTGTTGTTCAACAATTTCTTGATTATTTGATTTTCTACGTTTTTGTTTTACTGGGACTTTAGCAAACATATTACTGTCATGTGTTGAATCAGAAAAAACGCTGTCACTATCTTCAGATTGAGCACTCGATCTTCCTCCAGACCATTCTGTTTCAGATGTCTCTGGATCCGACAAAGATTGATGACTAGTTTGTTGCTTTCTTCTAGCTTTTTGCAGTAATCCTGACATAGAAGCAACTAAATGGTACTTCTTTTTCCTTCTTTGTGCTGATAATATTCTTTCTTTAAGTGATTTTTCTTGTTGTTGCTGCTCCATAGTATCAACGCCAGAGGGCAAAGAATGTGATCTATGTTTTTTTGGTAGGTGCAAATCAGGTAACCACTGACTCATGGATGACATTGCTGATCTCAAAGATGACGCTCGTTTTGGTTTCTTTGATGCCTTTTCTTGACTTTTTAACTTCAGATTAGATGAAATTGATAAATATCCAGACTCAGAAACCAAGATACCACTTGAATCTACAAATAGCTCTTTCCTTATAGAAGGGTCACCAATAGGTTTTTCATATTCTTGCACTTCGCAAATGACGTTACCATTTCTTTGATCATACTGTTGTTGTTTAAAATATTCTTGTTGTAGTTGATTTTGAAAATGCCTTCTTTCACTTATGCTTAGAGACCGTGATTTCATGCTAGCTGTTTCAATTGAACTAGTGGGTGATTTATTCCCACCTTGCCATGATAATTGATCTTCTAAAGAGGCCCTCTTTGGTGAATCATATCTGCTTGAAGTTGGATAGTAGGATAAAGCATCGGTAATATTTCCTGATGGATACCCGGAACGGTGGTTGGTTGCTCTGTACCCATTTTGATAAAAGTGAGGATCATTACCTCCTAGAGTGTTTGCTCTTACTAATGGTTTTTTTCCTGTATTTGTTGTTGATAACACAACAGTTTGAGCATGATAACTTGGTTCAGGTGGATATGAGTCCATAATTGGTTTAGAAATTGAATCAGTGGCATTATTTCTATCTAATATTTCAGAAAACTTTTTTTCCTCTAACGTTCCTCTTGGAGTACTATAAACTGTGGTAAATACTGCTTGTCTATTCCCTGCTACTGAATAAATTGATGGTGCGTCATTTCCATAATAATATTCACTCATATTAGTAATCGCTTGATTTGACATATCAGATCTTAAGAAGTTTTCATCAGTTTCATTTTGTAAATTAGTCAAATCCTGGGAATCAGATACATCCTTAATAGTTTCGTCGTTTGGCAAATTGTAATCTCTTTTCAAACCTCTAGCTTCAAATGCATATGAATCTACCAAAGTTTCGAGGTTAAGGTTTTGAATCTATTTCGTATGCTACTTTTTGAATAGCTTGTGGAGAAGACATTCGTAGCTTATGACCTTCGTAATTTGCATGAGATAACCTAGATGTTTTAGGAGAACCTGGACTTTTTTCAAGGCTTGACCAACCACTCATGGACGATAATCCAGAATCAGACTTTGCTGCAACTATGTTTGTGGTATCTCTTTTTAGGAATTTAGGTGAAGTTTTTGGAGATTTTGGTGAACGAGGACTTAAGCGCATACTATCTATTGCAACTGATCCAGTTGATAACATTGTTTGACGTGAAAGTAAATCATTATTATTATCAATTGAGGGAAATATTTCAACTCCATTCGGTGGAGCTGGTGGTGGAGGGCTTGGAGATTTTTGTAATCTGGCGTCTTCAAAACTCAAATCCAACCTGTTGTCAATAGGATCTTCGTATACATTATGAACAGATATTGGTGAGGGCTGCTCGGAAACAGTTTTGTATACTTCTTCAAAGCCTTGTGGAGTCGATTTCGAAGAATAGTAACTTTGTCTAGATGCATCTGTCAGAGGGTAGTTAGAACTATAATCAAATCGTTCCCTTGATATAGCACTAGGAGACTTAGATGACTTTGCAGCATTTATTTCAGCATTAGCTACCGCAGAACTGTAAGCTAATCGACCTGTTACAGTAGTGTACGGTTCTGTTGTTGTTCTTTCCGGTACAAATTTGCGCCGAGGCGAAAGATTTGTTGGCAAGTATTCTAGCTGCCTTTCTGATGTGCTATCGCTAAGTGACAACCTAGATGGTGATTTGTCCCTTGAAATTGAATCTTTAGGTACGGTTAAAACGAAATCATCGAAACTTTTCATCATATCGCTAATACCCCAGTTCTCTCCACCCGAATATATATTTTTCAATTGTTCATTAATGATGTTTCCGTCTTCAACTAAGGTTTTTGCTTCAATATCTGGATCATGTTTTGATTTCATTTTGGTTTCAGGGCTAAGAAGTCTACTTTTCAAGTCTTTTAACTCTCTCGAACCTTTGTGTAATTGGGTTGTCAACCTATCTAATTCATGTAATTTGTCTACAGTGATTTGATCTAATGTACTTAAAGTAGATAAATGAACCAAATCCCTTTCACTAATACCAGGTCCACCTTGTAGGCCACAGTAATCTTTATAATCGTTTGCACTATATAATTGCCGCGATGTAGTAGGCATCAATTCTATGTCGGGTTCCTCTGGTGCTTCCCAAATCATATCAAGTTGAGAATTAGGAATGGATGATTCTTCACAAACTAGGTCATCGCGGTAAGCTTGATTTAAACTCTTATAAAATGCTTCATCAGATTCCATGACTTCATCTTGTGGATTGATTAACACAGATCGCCCTATGTCTAATCCTTCTTCAATACCATCTTCAACAGTGCCGTTACCTAGAATTTCCCTGATAACTTCTAGTCTTGTCATGGAGTCTCTCGACGTGACAGAACGACACGTATAAAAATCAAGTAAAGTCGATATAACACCCTGTTGGTCGGCAAGTAGTGCTTCCAATCTTTCCAATCTTTCCCACATCCTAACATACTCTTGACTGAGTAAATCCAATGCGCGCCAAGCGTATTTAAGTTCCGTTTCGAGTATGTTAAGGCGAGTACCGAGGCGTTCCATGTAATCACTGATGATGTAATCGCCTGAATATGGTGGTAAATCTGGAGGAAGTGCAAGTGAGCCGCAATCGTCCATATCGGCCTCGGCACCCCCACTCCCTCCGCCCTCGTTTTCCTCCATCGCGCCGCTTGCTCCTGTCCCAGCATCGTCGTGAATGTCTCGCATCATCTTGGGTTCGGATAGTGGATTGAACATAACATCTTTCACTGTGAGTCATCCCATATCGTTTTACTTTTGACACTTTTCACACAAAACTGTTCCACGACACTAATAGTCCTTTGTAAGATCATTTTAAAATGTTATATTTTAACACATAATGTCAGTTTATTGTTCACTTCCTACATTAATGACTTTTAGCACTGTGTAAACTTTGTACTTCGACGGAATTATATTGATAGGTTCACATCAAAAATATACTTTGGTAAATATTTCTATATCACTTCTATAGAGTTTTAGAAATGTTAATACATTTGAATATGACTTCTGGTTTGAACATAAGATTTATCTTATGAACAAACCAGCCAAAGTACGATAAAAGGATACCTCAACAGAATGTGTTGACGATAGCTGTGTGTTGTTGTGCTGATTGAACAATTTGTCTGAATTGTCTGAATTTTAATAAAACATTAATTTAAAAAAATTAAAATAAATTTTTTGACAAGATGATTTTAAAGCCCGTTAACACATTCCGTAATAGGAGGCAGCTTAGCGATTCATTTGCGATTCCACGTGAACAGATCAAGTTCAGAGGTGGAAGGAGTCCCTCGGCGGGATAAGGAATAGGAATAGGAGTAAAGAAGGAACCGAGTTTCTCCATCGCTTCACTGTAAAATTAATTTTATTTTCATTGATAAACATGTTCATAATTTTTAACATTAACATCGAGTTATGTTTTTTACTTAATAATGTTTTTTTGTAATTTATTTAACAGCTGATTACCTATTCTTTGTAGGTCAAAACCGTTTAGATCATATATTATTTAATTCTCAATACGTGCTTGTAATTTTTGTAAGCCTTTGTAAAACTTTGTAAATTGAATAAAGAATATTATTATTATTATTATTATACATGCCAAATAATCTCATTATAATTGTGTATTTTTCAAAAAAATTGGCAACATGAAGATTTTGTAATTATTAAACTCGTTTCGTTGTAATCTATTTTACAGCCTGTATTGTACTGCGTATATGTAATAGACAAAAAAAATTACATTTTTTCTTAAATGAATTTATTTAAGAGACAGTGTCAAGTAATTCGTGCGTATCATGAATGTTTTCCAATCATCTTCAATCCTGTTTTAAATAAAAAAAGTAAAGTAAATAAATAGCGATGAAGTCATGAAAAGTTTTTTCCTCGAAATCTTTTAAAGAGTCGGTTGGAAACAGGCCAATACCCGCTAAAACTTTCTCTTAACACTAATTGGATCTGTAGGCAGTACTTACTGAAAAAAAGTTAAGAAAATATCTTATAAGTAAAGGCCTTAAATTTTGTTCAACTCTATAATATTCTCTTTTATAAAGCTTGAAAGTGTTAAAATAATCATGGCATACTAAAAAGTGTTAATTTTAATGCGTTAATTGAATGATCAACTGCTAAAAGTCTGAAAGTTTGGATTAGGATATTGTTCCTAATTAACCACCATCTAATACCAAGGTCACACTGAGAGTTTTTAGTTAGATTTGTTTGTTGTTGCGAAGTTTCATTGAATTTTAATTTAAAATATTTTGAATGTAGAACTCTTTGGTGATCTAATATCATATATTGCATTAATTTTTCATTCGTTTTTGTGATTGGCGACTGAATTGAAAATGAATTTAACGCGAGTAAATTTTCGGTCCATTATTTATTACGTCTTTCGTTGTGGTCTTACCTAACAACAAAGCTAACTTCGATTGGCATTTAATAATGAAGCCCCGTCCCGTACCACCGTTCACAATTACTTTAATGAGTTTAAACGTGGGCGTGGTAATCTCAGTGAAATCTGCGTAAGATACGACTACAGCCACATCTGAAGATAACAGCAGTGCTGTGCAGAGCATGACAGAGGAAAATAAGAAAGTGACCTACCAGCAGATTCAAGCAAGCTTAAGCGTTGGTATGTGTCAAGTACAAAAAAAATACACGACCATTTAGACGTTAGGAAGCTTTGCACCAGATGGATTCTATTACCTTTTTTCTATTCTATACTGTGGCCAAAGACCAAAAACGCCTTCGCTTAGATTGGTGTCACGAAATGATTAACGGAGGTGAAACTTATGCTCTATTTGACATCGTCACAGGTGATGAAAGCAGGATATATTGCTCCGAACCCGAAACCACAAGACAATCGGCTCAGGGGGCATTTCCTTTTGAGGAACTTTCGAGGAACTTCGGCCAACTAAAGAAAATAAAGGAAGAAGCCAAGGAAAAATTATGTTCGCCTCGTTCTTTCAGCGTCCTTGAAGCGGGATCCCGAACTGGCATGCTGCGGCTTTCATTTATTCCCAAAAATTAAAGATAAACTTGGAAGTATTCGAGCCCTGAAGATGCGGTGAGTGCTTTCGAATATACCGTAAAACAGAATCCTTAGGAAGAATGGGCCCACTGCTTTTCTCAGTGGTTCCTTTGAATGCGAAGATGTATGAAGAGGAACGGAGACTACTTTGAACTATAATGAAAGTTTTAGCGTCTTTCTAAATTGAGCCGTTTTATGATTTTACAATAACTTTCAGTGTGACCCACGTAATAAGTAGTATGTGCTAAAAAAACAGTTCTTCTCCTTATGCAAACGATATAGAAGTTAAAAAAATTGAAATTATTTGAGTGCTTCATATTGATAATCGAAGGCCGTGTCGCGGAACATGTGTCAGATTAGTATTTTACAATTTTGTTGAAGCCATATTGGTAGTCGAAATGCTTCTTTGGTATATTATTAAAGAAATGAATTCTTGATTTATGACGGCATTTATAAATTCGAAAATACATATATATATATATATATATATATATATATGTATATATATATATATATATATATATATATATATATATAGGTCCCAAAATATGACCATTTTTATGGAACAATTCTGACATGCAACCGAGAGAAAAACTTTAACATCGAATTAAACTCATCCTTAATTACAATTTATATAATCAGGTTGATAATGCAGCAGCAATTTAATTGTAATCTAGAATGAAGCCAAAAATTATATACATAAATATATTTTTTCTTATGTCGTCAAGTGAGCAGGGGGTTCACCTTATGCTAAAAAAATTACGCCACTCAAGGACATCTACAACACCCGATGGCTCATTGATACGTTGGCAACATTTATAAAAGTGGGTCCTGTTTATCTCACTCACCAGACGAAACGAGGCAGTTTAATACTTCCACTTCGCTTATTTTGTGAGGCCATGGTTCATCCCCAGGCGAGCCTGCCCAACAGAAAAATTGTTGTTTGGCCCCACCACAGTATATAAGTACGTTTCAATATAAAATAGTATATTATGTATAAGTACGTTTTACGGTTTTATTATGAGATAATATGTTATGTATAACTAAGATTTACGTTTTTATTATGAGATAAAAATCTAATAATTAAATTTTTTTGTACATTTTGTATATGCTTTGTTCATATTGAAATATTTCCTACGGTTGCAATAATTGTGCTTGGAGTTCATCGATAAAGAATACTGAAGAGAAATAAATAAAATTACGGATAAGAAATGAGTTCATTACAATGTTATGGGGGAGCAAAGTAATGTCAGACTGTATTTAGCAATATTCAGATTTCTGTTCGAGCGTTATTAGCCAATGTATTCTTTATTGCTGAAGCTATTTTTGTTACCTCACTATCTTTCGATTTTACCTTACTTCTATTTACATATTTGCCAGGACTGCCGCGCAGTACAAATATATTGAAATCAAGGTACTGACTCACAAGAAAATGGCTTTCAGTAACAGCCAATAATGTCACAACAAGAACGTTCCAACGTTCCACATTTTTAAAGTAATTTGTTTTGTTTAATAAAGTACTACTCACTAAGAAATAATATACTGGAAGTGAATCCACAAGAATGTAAACGATTTTTTACGAGCTTAGTTTCATCTCAGTCAAACCAAAACCAATAAGTAAGCTCGATCATTACTAAATATAGAATGCACATGTAGCTATGTTTTTTTTTTAACTTTTATCTATTTTGTAATAATAAAGTTTTTATGCAATTTAACAAATAACTTTTGGTATTTGCATTTTGCTTTAGCAAATGTAATCGGATATCGCGTACTTATTTTTACGAGGGTAATTGCGAAATATTGAATATTGTTACATAACAGGAGTACGTTTCGGGTTCTGATATAAGGTCATATTTTTTTAATGTAAACTTATACGTGTTTAGTGCAAGTAAGCTATTCATAGTGTACTTCACCATTCAAATTGTAACTAGAAAATGTTACCCAAAACTAATGTGAGCCACAAGAAAAGAAACAAGGGAATTTATACGATAGTAAAGCCAAGTATTAAGCGAGTTCCGATTGGATTGAGTTGTACTGCAAAATTGTCCTGAGATTATTATGTACGATGAGTGGCAGCCAAAAGAGAATGCAGCTGTTGGCACCAGCTCAAACTTAGCCACAGATGTTTCCTTTCTGAAGGCGATTGCTTATTTAACCGTTATTTACAAGGCATTCATTTCGACAAAGACAAGCGAAATTGTGTGCATTGAAAAGTTCTATACGACAAAATTAGCCAAGAAAATAATTTGATTAGATGCAATGAGGCTTGAGGGTATGATTTGTAACTATCGTTAATAGACGAGTATAGAACTACTCCTAAATAAGAGATCAACTATGAAGCATTAATATTGCCAATTAGGCTTGGTCAACGCAAATCTTGTTAGCGTACTTAGAGGAATGTTCATCTGGACATAACAATATTGGCTGTGGAAACAGCTCACTTCACGTACCAGAGTGAAACATTCGTATTTCATTAGTGACAGAAACTGCTTTTTTCCCCCGCAGATTTACGATTTAATTGCTTCACGCAGGCCAATAAATTAATATGACTGGCAATTCCGGACCGAAAAGATTTTTTGGACTGTTCATTCTGTGAATGAAAATCAAATACACATGAACAAAACATTGAATATTTGAACATTACTTTTTTAAAGGCAAAGTATGAACAAGAAAATAAAAAATACGAGAAAGAGACTTGAATACTGTCTCTCAACGACTCACATCACTAACGTCTAATTTTTTTGCACGTAGATTAAAATAAAATAATTAGGCACTCTGGAATGTTTTAAACTATAAGAATTGAAGCTTATAGCTTCACAGTGTTACAATAACTATATAATGGCAACCAATAATATTTTTTTGACATTTACCTATAATTTTAAGCTATTTCATGAAACCGTTATGAACTGCATTTAATGTCTTTTTCACAAACAAAGAGCACAGGAGAAAAACTTTTAGTTTTTTTTTTCTTTTTTGCTCTAAAGAAGTACACCTTCTTACGTACGGACATAAGTATACATACATACTTTTTTATTTATATCAAAAACTTCCCCCGTTTACCTAAATTTAGATTCATTTAACACACTGGCATGGTTGATTGTGTGGCTTTGAGAATTAGAACACGACGGTTTCAATTAGATTATCCAAAATAATCCAGCTTCAAGCCGTAATAGATGAGCGTTTATAATGTCGCTTGACCACAGATTAAATAGAGATTGCACCAGTTCCAGTAAATAAAAAAAATATATATTAAGAACGCATTACATACTGGCGTGTTACATCCACTAGAAACTATAAAAATTGTATCAAAATTACCAAAACCTCTAAATACGCGAACCATATACTTGTATTTAGATTGTACTCAGAAATCCCCCTATTATAAAATAACTAAATTAAATAACTAAATTCTACAAAATAACTAAATTCCGAGTCTAAAAGTAACGAAATTTTTGGTATTAACAAGTTTTCAAGTCTTACAGCTTCGCGGTAATAAATATAACCATTTAATAAAATTTACTTATGATGGCAGTTTTTCTTATTGTAATAATGAAAAGTAACTAAGCGTCATTTTATCTTTGATATTGAAGGCGTAATATTATTCCTTTGTTATAATTACTTAACAAATGAAGTTGCCATGTTTTGTCAGTAAATTATACCGAAAAAGTAGCGGTGCGAGGTCTTTGACCACCTTTTGTTTTACTTTCAAGAATTTAATGAATATCTCATTAGAGAAAATAAGGTTTTAATTTTTATTCATCCTTAATTTTCCTCTTTTTAATAGCTTTTCAAAAACCATTTTCAATTCCGGCCAATGCTTATCCATAATAACATCTGCGTTGTCTGTCCGTTTATAAAATAGTTATATGCTTTCGAAAATAATATTAATGAACGACGCACATTACAAGTGTGCTACATTTCATTATTGCATTAAATAACTGTAAGTAACATGATCATTAATGATTTCCTATTAGCTTAAGTTTGCCTCGCTAGTTAAAGCGGCTAGTTTGGACTAACGATCAAAGTTCTGAGTCTGTAGCCACCTCAATAATCTAGTTGATACATTTGATTATTATCGTAAATAAATACCGAAAAGTTACTACCTGGAACGACATCATAGTATTTCGATTTAGAACAACAAATTGAATGATTAGCATAACCTTTATTTTCTTTAAGGTTTTTTTCGTAGGTTTTTCAATTCAATGTTCAAGTGAACTATTTATTTTGCAGATTTTATCAGGATTTTGAAATAACACATACCTGTCGCATGATGACAAACCGGGGTTACGTAACGGAAATGAAGAAATTAAACGTCATAAGGCGGCGAAAAATTAATCGTTCAGTAAAATAATGAATATATCTTTGTAGCCAACATTAAGGTGCGGTTGTAAATATGTGAAAATATAAAATTTATAATATTCTCACAATATTTTATTATATTTGTAATAAAGTATCTTTAAACATTTTTCAAATTGTTAACATTAAACTTAAAGTAAAAAATTAATTTTCCTGAACTATGATAGTTTTAGGGATACTATTTCTTTGATATTTAAACAAGAATTTTGCGTAAATAAATGCCATTTTATATGTTGGTAAAGTGTAGAAGATCAATACCAGAAATTGTGTGCCAATAAATTTATTAAAAGCAACTTACGCTCGGTGAGAACAAATAATAACATTGAAGGTCTTAAACAATTTAGTTAACCCAATTTGAGTACAATAGACCTTAGTTGTGATTGGCTGAGCTTTGAAGGCGGTTTTTACGAGCCCGAACACATCCTTTGTACCCTAGCGACCGCTATCTTTGCCCCTGTTTTCCGCCGTGGCAATTTCACAAATTAAACCACCTCGTAACGCGAACGTGTCGCCGTTGTTGTGCATCTGATTTATGTATTTTCCCGCTGATACTACAAATTGTCGTGGAAGCGCGACCGACGTTTTTATACGTCAATTTAGGGTTATATTTCTGAATAAATAAAGAAGGCTGTACGAGTTTGCTTATGGGGAACGGCGGCAATATATGAGAGACGTATATCTACTTTACGATTCTCTTGTGTTTCCCCCCCCCCCCCCCCCCCAATGTATCGATTTTCACGCAAGAAATAAGGGCCGCCTCTTGGATTTTTTCAGACTACATGGGTATAAAATTATGACCTATTTATTGTATCGTCAATGTCGGTATGCATTTGTATTTTGAGTGAAAACCTTTTGAACCCGACGCGCGACTTTCAGGCCTATGTACGAATACATTGGGGACAATTTTCTACAACAATGAACATTTCCCAGCGATCAAACCGATAGGTTTCGAATACCATTGTTGCCACTAACTTATATTACGTGTCGACGGCATCACGCGAGCTAAACCGGGGGTCGCTTTTAAAAGTATAAAATTCATAAGGGGATAGATTTATCGTGAAATATAAGGCCTGCTCGTAGAGAGCGAAGCTTATTACGCACGCGAGGAGAAAATTACCTCATATTTTTCCTTATATCCATTACGAATTATTTATTAGTTAGGGGGTTACTCTGATGTTACTACTTTGCCCCTATTGCCAGCTAATATTTTAATTAAGTATCCATTTTGTTATACCGCTAATATTAATAAATTGAGTGTTGTAAAGTGGCGACAATTTAAAATTATAGTTGGGCTAAAGCGTATTACTTAACTATACATTACATTCAGGCTACCATCTTTAAAAGTTTTTATTAGATGATATTTTCTTTTTTCAGCGTAGGACTAGGCGATGCTTCATTGTTTGCAGGCTTTTAGAAGAGAAAAATTGTGGAAACAATTTATGTCACGTAAGTTAGACATTTCCGTAGTTAATTCCGTAATTTAATGATTTTAAGCAGATTAAATGAAACTAGTTTACGAATTTTATCGCGTTTTTTATTTTGATTTGAACTCCCGACGGTTCGAACCCTTCCCAGCATTCCATTTTAAACAGGATAAACTAATCGAAAGCCACAATGAGCTCTCCTTGCCAAATGTCTGCATTTTCAAGCTGAATATAACCTTTTAAAATAACTATTAGAGGCCTTATGTATGATATCAATAGTGATGTAATTAAACGCGGGAAACGAAGATGTTTTTGGACTTAAAAAGACTATTAAAAGAAAATAAAACAATATATATGTATTACACTTGGAACGACGCGAAGTCTGCTTGACTGTGTAAAATTACGTTTCTTAAAAGCCAAATGTTGCACACACGTAGAAACAAGAACCGTAGTCTAAAATAAGATGAGACGATACTGGTCCGATAGAGATGACGCTATAGTCATTAAAAGCCAGCCCGGTGCTGCAGAGAGAGTCTATGGAGAAAAGTTTCTCCCGGAAGTAAGTGTCCCAAGCATTGTGCGATGTCTGGCGTAATCCAGTTTTTTTTTCTACTAATGAGGAGCAATCATGATTATCGTATTTTGCTATCATCGCGTATGTATTTAGTGTGAAATAGATGAAAGTTGTTCTACTTTTCCACACAGGCAATATTCTTAAATTAAATGTAGTTAGGTAAATGATCCTCGCTGATTTATTGTATCTTTCTATAAAAAGTAAAATTTTACGGGCAGTTTTTTTTTTTAATTTCAGAAATAAATTTTGATATCTCGTAACTTTTGAGAAAATACTTTATTTTTCTACATTGAAAAATATATTTAATTTTCTGTCAGTTCGGTTTTAAATTACACTTGGGTAAACGTGGGTAGAATATTACTTATTTCCTTACCTTAGGTAATATATTTGCATAACGGGTTAAAATCTTTCGCAAATTTTGCGTTTTCTAAATATCTTTTAATTAATCTCATATCTATCGTGACATTAGTTTTCGAAAGCTGTTGCTATAAACGACATTTATTTTTAGAAGGTCTAGATTTGTTTTAGTGTTCACAAATTTACTCGTTAAACCAGATGGCATGGAGATCTGTAGCGTTAATAACATTGACAGCTCACTCCAAGAATAATGATACTATTACCGAAGGAATAATGACTGCAATTGTGTTAGAAAATGCTTCGTTGAAACAATCTTCGATTACAGAATTCATTTCTAAGTGTCGCGATAAGCGATTGTTTTAATAATGGACTCAATTATCTCCTGAGCGAATCGTTGAGGGGGCATTAATTATATGAGCCTTCAAGTTAAGCGCTCATCAATCAAGGCGGCAGTTCTCGTCTTTAGTGCTAGTTTCTTGCGTGTGCCACCATCTCTGTGTACGTCAATTTAGCTTTTCCAGCTTTTACTGTGGAGAATGTAAAAGGTGGTATATGCATAGGCGTAAAGTAAATTCGTAGCTTTTCTAAATTACATAGTAAATTTATATAACAGCCTATACATGTCCTATAGCACCACAGCCTAGGGCACCATGGCAAAGTCCACCACGTGGCCCCACTGTGGATTATTTATTATTGGCAAGCCGGACACTGAGCTATGACGGCTCTGAAATTACATATTTCTTATTATTTTAAAGATGCCGGCAATGAGCCTGCAATTCAGTTTATGCTTTTTAGGCCGAGAGGATTTTTTATATGATTTTTATTTGTCTAATCCACTAGTCTACCTTTTTATTATGCCATGATTTTATAGTCTTGTAATGATGAAATTAAATTATACTAAGGAATTATCACCAACGTTAATGACTTTACTTTTTTGAAATTTTATGTATCTTATTTTTGTATGCTTGAAAAACCACACAGCAAAGCTTAGCTATAAGAATACATTTCGTATAATAGGTCTTTATTTTATAGCTTTTTAATTGTATCACTTTACAACTTAGCACATTTTTTACGTAGTAATGATGCGTAGCGGCGTCGTAGACCGTGCTATGAATCGCCTACGTACGCCAAATAATTGAATGAATTTATTTTTAAAAATGGTGGGCAGACTACATGGAGACTGGTAGTAAAATTTTTACGGATAGTATTATCTTCAACCTTTTTATGATTACTGGTAACTCTATTTGAAGTGAAAACTTACGCTCGGAAAATAATATTTTGGCACAACTGCTAAATATGGTTTAGGGTTATTTGAATTTTAGATCAGGCGCAATATTGCAATCGTGAACTATTAAGTCACGCGTGCAATTATTTATTTACGCACATTCAAAGAGGTAAACATTCGCCATTTATGTTTGAAAAACACGCAGCGAAAAGTTAAAACATTTTAGGTTATGCGGTTACAGAGGGGCTTAGGAACGTTTCGTCCGTTCGCGGAGTCACCACGGCCACTCGACGAATTTAGCTACACGGATTTCGTGGACCCCTCATAGAGCCGGTGGCACGTGGGTCGAGAGCACGGCCACTAGTAATCGCGTCACTTCACAGCACTGTCACATGGGGCGCGCGGGGCACTGTTTACCGCGGGGTGGTGGTGAATGGAAGTGCCGTTTCGGCTGGGGTTGGCCGTGTACGAGGCGGTCGGGCCGCCGCGCGGCCGCCTGCGATGCGTGGCCGGCTGAGGGCTCATCTAACCCGGCGGACGCGGCCGGTGGGACTCCTGCCGCCCGCTGCACTGATGCGCGCGCCGACGCCGCCGCCCGCTCGATACGGCCGCGCCGCGCCCCACACACCCCACCGAGCCACCTGTACGCTCCGTCACAACACCGCTACGGGGGTTTTCTCAGCCGACGGGACGCGAGCTCGCGTGCAACACTAGTAAACACATCGCGGATGTTTGTCCACCCGATTGAGCGCTAATTGCGATATGTGGCAAGCTGGCTTTTTACAACACTAACTATCGCTACGAACACAATCAGTACGGGTTACTTTGATTTTAGATTACGTACGAACTTCTCGAACGTTATGGCTGTCAAGTCGGATAAAAAGTTAAAAAGTAAAAAAAAAAAATTGGGAACATTTAAGTTTCATAAAAGCCTCGGTGAATTTATGGTATACCGTAATTGAGGCCGGAAGCTAAGCGGTATTCATTCAAAACAGGTTTAGGTAATGTAGCGAACAGGTATAGGTCCCTACAAATGACTTCAACGACTATTTTGCGGTCGTAACTTCGGATCCTCATTTATAATCTTAGCGTCGTGCCGCAATATTAATGAAAAAGTAATTAAATTAAAAAGTACGTTATATTAAAGTCTACTTTAAAGTTTTGTATTAAACACTGTATTACTTTAAAAATATTGTCATGTATGAGTACTAGACCTTGAGTGTTTCGTTTTTTTTAAAAGTAAACATCGCCCCATCTCGGAATTCCATTAGGAAATGAGGTTAAGATAAGTTTGTTCTCGACAGAGGTTTCTTTTGAATACAATTTGATTCTTCGATAGACTCTCCGATATGTAACGCGATGTAGAGAGTGCTCTTCAAGCTTTTTGTGTAATACTTTTGAAAACAAACTTTCTAACGCTTGGTTTCTTTTATTAGAAGAATACTACCTATACAACGTTTAAATAAACAATACATATTACTTGGTTTTATCAACCTTGTTTATTCATGTGTTTTATTTTTATATAATAATTTAACATTACTGCGCTTGAATTATCTTAAACTCAAGTATTTTGAAATATAAGTTTAAGATAAACTTAAATGAATTACATGAAGGCATATATACAATTTTAGCGAATAAATAGGTCGGACGAATAATTTAATTCTGATATACGTATCAAATACTCTTTCACTTTGTTTAAATTAAAATATTAATTTGCATTAAGAATAATTGCGAACTTTTCCATTTAGTGTGAAGTAATACGAAATTAATGCAACGTATATGACGACAGGCACAACAGAATGGTTTAAAATTACGAAGGCCATTATCTTTAATTCAGTTTTATAAAATATTTGATATATCAAGTGATTAGTAAGCCGCGCGTGGTCACATGGCACGGCAATCCTCTAGGGATTAGGAAGGAAGGCTATAACGGAAAAGTTAAATTAAACATGTTAAAGCACGTGGAATTAATTCCAGTCATAATCCAGTAGCATGAAAATACGAAATATTCAAATCTATTGTGATCTATTTTTCAGGTCGGTAATCCTTTCAATATGAAGCAGGTAGAGACGGAGAGTGGTAGAGAAAGAAGAGGAAAAGAACTTCACATATTTTTCGTGTTTAATTTAATTTTATACCCACGACGCTACTCCTTAACTTTGGAGGTTGGCCATAGTGAGACTATTAGATTACTTTCAAGACGCTGACTGAATTAGTTCATAGAAAGGTTTCGTTACTCAGAAGTTGATTTGATTTGTAGAGCGTCGAAATCGATTTATTCCAGAGCTGAAGGAACATTCAAATTTTCAAATTGACCTAGATTAATCAGTTTCAAAAGTGTGTGATTTTCAGCTATTTCTCTTCATGTAAACATTGAACTATTCATTTATAGTTATTTCATATATAAAACTTTATATTTCTAAAAACAACTTAAAATATTGCTTTTATTATGGTAATTATGGTTGAAACGTCGCCTTCATAAGGAATTGCCATAGAGAAGTGTGTGGGTTGAAATATGATAAACGAAATATAGATTATGTTCTCACATTTTATTCTCAGGGGGGTAGAGTGGGGGAGACTTTTAAAGTTATTGTGAGCATTATTGCAATTGTGTTAGTTTAAAACAATAAATAAATAAAACTATGATTTCAAAACATTTTTATTCACTTAGACGCTTGCGCGTTCCTATGAAACGTCGAAATTTTACATAGAATACGTTCGAAAATTACCATTAAATCATTGTCCAACATTTGTATCTTTTGTTGAATTAATATTTTCAGAACGTTTCAGATGTTCAGAAGCAATTCAAAAATACCTGAATATTGCGAGTGGTGAATTTATTGATAAATAGAAATCCGGCAATAATTTATCTAATGGATAGTGCAGTAAAATAAAATGGGATTGGAAGATATCACGTGTGAACAAGGAAAACCGAGTTGCCGGAAAAACTATAACATCTAGAACTACTAGTGCTATTGCTAATCATTCTTACTCTGTTCCATAGTTGACGTGCATGGGGTTGAAAAATGATATTACAACTTGGCACATCTTCAAAGCAACAAGTACTGTCCGCCTAACGGTTGAGTCGGTGCCAATTGCCAGCCCATTGCCCCACGTACCTCATGCCGCATTAACGTCGGCGTAAACTCGCGGGCTTTACGACGCGATTTTGTGACTGGCACCGTGTTCCGGTCAGATAAACGGACGACCACTAAAATTGGCGCGGGCGATAAAGGCCACGAAACTAAGCGTCTCCGATAGGCATCGACGTTGGCTCACGCGTTGCAAACAAAAAACTTGCGCGTTTTATGGTCCTTTTACGGTTTTCGCGTCGTTTACGGGGACCCTCGATGAAATGGACATGTTTATGGGGTGCGGAGAGTGAATTTAATTTTGTTAAATATGTGTCCATAATCGCACTACACGTATAAGGCTCTTTACTGAAATTAAATGAATAACCTTTCTTAGATATAGATAGATGCAAAGGTATAAGTAACATAATGAAAATATGTATGTTCATATGTATAAGATAGAATTTATAGTGAAACTTCTGTTCTAAATAGCTTTTGTACGTCGTCAAACAATAATACATGTGGATACTAATAAATATATTTTACTAAATAGCATACATAATCTGTTAACGTAGGCTAACTGTTCTAAACTCTGTATGAATTCTGTAGCTTAGAACAACTCTCTGTATATTTCATTACAGTTTTGGAGGTCGTTAAATAAATTCAAAGTTTCACCCGATATATGTACTTGTTGATTGTAACATTAGACTGAAAACGTGTGAACGAGAGCGATAATTTCGAGGGTTTTTACTCGTACTTAAATGTTGGAGCGACTTGAAATGCCTTTGAGGTTACCGTGTGAGAGGCAGTTCAATATCGAAGTTTTAGATGATATAGGGGCTGAGGAATCCACTTTCAATAAGATGTGCGAAACTTGGAAAGCACTGGTTTCAATTTACTGGCGGTTATGTAAAACTAGGTAAGTGATAAAAACCGATAATTGCTTCCCTGGAAAACACGTGCAAATAATTATAATAATCGAAATAAAATATGGTGAAAATTGGATACGTTATCTACAATAATTTGTTATGGCTTCATCTTTATAAAACTATCTTACCAATAGTTTGTAATTTAGTTGCAAGATATTTTAATTTATTCCATTGATTCAGCAATTTATTCAGCTGTTTATCCATCCGGATAAACTGATTGTGGGAGAGAACCACCCAAAACTTTCTAAAAAAGAATGAGTTCGTTAATTAATAACAATTAATATTAACTCTCAGAACCGTGATAGCTCAGTGGCTGGGCGCTCGCTTTAAATTCAATACACTCGAGCAACCTGAGTTCAAATTCCGGTGCTGCGTCAATGAAGCTTTAATAGTATCGGGACTGAAAGCAAAAACATCAGTTAATACAATTCCGATGCCGCCACCAATGGAATTGTTAACTTTAAGTGCTGACCTATGTCATGCTGTGCGATGAAGGTGAGCATCGTGAGGAAACCAATATACTATTGAAATTGTTTCAAAAACTTTTTCGAAAATATGTGAAGTCCGCTAATCCGCAGTGAGGTTGCGTTTTGGACTGTGCCCCAATACCCTCTATACAGAGGAGGCCTTTGCCTCATTATTTAATCATTAACTTTATAGCAAAGAATTTATTACGTGATCATTAATAATTTATGACGAACATTATTTAAAAAGGGAGTTCTTTTTAAATTACGTCATTAAGTAAAATTTTACTTATATCTGCGAAACATAAAAACAAGGAAATATATATGAAAGAAATTAAACGGGCAAGTTAATTCATGACTTTATTGCTTTAATTACGGAAATTAATTTGTTTTGTTACCCTATTGTATTGCCAGCATCCGTGCAGTAAAATTTTAGTTTAATGTTAAACACCCAGACGTTTGTGGGTGATAATTAATTAAATTTAGCTCCTGATAGATACCACGAAAGCAGAATTCAGTATTGAACATAATTTTTTTATGAATTTTGTTGGATTTGTTTTTTGAAATTATGTGCGCATTATAAAAAAATATAATCTCTTACTCCGTTATTGTCTTAAAGCGAATATGGCTGCAGAAAAAAAACAAGCTTGTTTTATTTTTATAATAAAATATACGAGTTAGAGTCGTAAATAGCAATATAAGCTTACGTCAAGACATGGCTAAGAGAGAGATATAATAAACTACATGGCACATAATTAACAAATTCTAAATTTGGTTAAAACATAGGGGCCAACGCTTTTCTATTCAATTTGCGTTAAAGCCAATGAAAAGTAGAATTCATTTAGCTATCATACTAGTTTACTTACTAAAATCGTTGAAATACGATTAATTCGAAGATTCTTTTCTCTTTTTCTTTTTCCATTTAAATTTGTCTTAAGATTGAACTCGAGAAGTGTGATTAGATCAACATTTGAAAAAGCTTCTATGGCAGCACAAATAAAAGACGTTTTAAACGCGAATTAACCAAGAATGTTTTCAAAAATTTTTCTTTGAATTCTATTTTACAAATTTTTCTCAGTTTTTGCGAAGTGCCGTTAGATTTAAAATATTTTCGAAGAACAAGATTTTTTTTAATTAACAAGCAATATGTTCAAGAGAGAATTATTGTATTCATATCACAAAATCATGCTTGCTTTTTCTTTAACTACGTAACTCTGGCGTAGTTTAATCCACTGGTATTAATTGATGCCAGTTACAGTAACGCGTCGAGGGGCTTAGTCGGAAATTG